AGTTAAATTTCAACATCAGCTTTGATGTTTTAAAACTTTTTTTAAAACAATTAAAAACATATAAAAAATGTTTTAAACCGTTTTTTTTACCATCCCTACCTGGGCTCTGGTTGACACCAAACAAATCCAAATTACATGCTCGCTTCACGGGAAACTGGGATAATAATGCAGGAATTATGGAACTCGGCGATGGACTTTTACTAGAGAAATGGTACCATATTGCTTATACACTTTCTGACTCGGAAAAAAGGTTAGACGTCTACATAGATGGTGAATGGCTCGGATTCTACAGTATCCAGGACTTTAAAAAGCAAAGGGTTATCTTTAATGATGGGCCATTGTATATTGGCAAAGCTTACGATTTGGGATTTAATGGTGAAATTAGGTACGATTTATTGCTCTATAATAAGGAAGTTAATTTAAATAGTTTAAATGTTTAAATAATCATTTATCAAATAGGAATGTTCGTAATTTCAACTGGCGTTTATCGGCCGGAGAAGTAAAGGAAGATTTTTTTTGTAAAACCTATTAAAAATTTTTACTTCATGAGCTTAAATGAATGTAATGAAACTTTCATTTTAATTAATTTTCTAAATAATTATAGAAAAAACCAATTGTATATGGATCAAAAGTTGCTCTTATTCATGTGCCTACAGGAAAATATTTGTCTACTAAAGGAGTTAAATATGATTTGGGACCGAATAATAAGCAATATATGGTATTTAATAATAATAAAATATTTTTTTTATTGTTATAATTTATGCTAGAAAAACTTCATTATCTTTGCTATAAACTTTATAAAACCTACAAAGGTCATTTGCAGTGGCAAAGAGATAGATTTGGTAAAAGATGTTTGGACAATTGTTGGGGCTCATGATGAAAGCGTAAATATGGGAAACTCTGTACTCTTTAATTCAATAATTGGATTTAAGCATCAAGCTACGAATTTATGTCTGCATTCTCATGGTACGGGAGCAGGAGTCACACCCAAATCAAATTCTCAACAAGGTATTTTACAACATATTTATATATATATATATATTTATTTATTTATTTATATTTATATTTATAGTTAACTTTTTTTCGCTTCAATACTTTAGTGACTCTCTGCCCGGGTAGAGGTGGTGACAATGATTGGCTAGTTCGACGTTTTGGTCCTGACACTTCCTATAGTCATTTGACGAACGAAGACGTTATTAATCTTTTTCATATTGCTACTAACAAACCAGCACTTTGCAGTCACTCTGTTATATTGAATGACGGAAGCCAAGAGGTTTGTTGCAATGGTGATGGAAGTGATGAGAAAAATATGGTATATTTAAAATATTACATATTGTCTTAGTATTAAATGAGTATTGTTGCTTATTATGTGTAATTCAAATTACTTTGTAATCTTTTTTTAGTGGCTTATTAAATTAATTGAATGATAGCACACCGTTAAGGAAGCGTGATTATTGGCGTAATTTTTCTATGTTTCAGGATTAAGTGTTATATGTTTATATATTTATTTGCAAGTTCTCTAATTTTATTATATTATCATCATGGTTTATTATTTGTTAACGTTAAGAAATATATATAAAGACAAATTTATTTACAAATATTATACTTTCATATGATTTTACTATTGTTGGTAAGATTTATCTATTTTAAGAGCCAGCATAGCCAGTAAACTGCCTGGTACATATATGAGTATTATATATAGATGAAACTCGTATAAAATTCTAAATCCTCTAAATGAACAAAGCCACAACTCACAACTTCAAACCTAAAGGATAAAATATTTAAAATTATATAGGTTTAGCCAATAGCAATAATTAGTTTGAGACCATCATTCAAAATTTCAAATATTATCTTTAATACGTATTTCTTTAAAAAATAATTTGAACTAGAACATGACAATGCGGGCGGCTTCGTCGCCTTATTTTTTTTAATATTTAAAGAGTAAATATTTAAATAAATTTTTAAATTTTGAAAACAATAATATTATATTGTAAGTACGAATCACCGAGTTTAATAGATTAAGTTATAACAATCATGTTAGTAATCTGAAAAGTACATGCAGTTTGATTATTATATTTAATAAATTATAATGACAAAATACACCATTTTTCAAAATGGTCAATGTTTAATGCTCAATAAGATATTCAGAATTTTAATAACCTTGGCTCTAATTTTAAGTTCTAATCCTAATTAAAATTTGAGATAAATTTCTTACAGTAGATAATTATAATTTTATTGGTCCATTTGTTTATGCACTGTATTAGTTTGGTTTTATCATAGGTTACTTGCAGATGTCGACCTTTCCAGTTGTTTTTTATTATATCTATTTGAATGTAAGTTCGTCAAATCAATTTCTTCTAATTATATAAAAGGAATAAGATCCTAATACTTTATAACGTAACCTACCATAAAGTTATTTAATCATGCAATAATGATCGCTCTATCACTTTGTTAACAAATTTATTATAAAAGAATAGTAAGCATTAGTGCTCCAAACAGGTCGGTTGGGTAGACAAATTTTCGAGTTAGAACTTCAATCGAACCGAACCAGACCCGAAATTTTAGGACTAATATATTAAATTTTTTAAAATAAATGAATTTAATTGCCCTTTTTGCTCTTAAACCATCACAAAGTTGTTTTTATATAGAGTTATGTAAATATTTTATTTTTGAATATATTTTATTTAAAAATTATATATAGGTCTATAAATTCAATGTAGACTTTTATAGTTATAATTTATACATAAATTATTAAAATTAAAAATTTTGCAAATTGATATTTCCACACCCTTTTTTGATAATGCCACACTAGTGCCACACCCTTGCTTATTATCTAATTTTTTTAATTTTTTTAAAAACTTTAATTGAAGATATTTCAACATACATCTAATCAAATTCGGTGAACTTTTTTTATTTTAATTTAGAAATATGCAGAATTTAATAAAAAACGTTGATAGAATTTGATCAGGTGGATACCAAGATATCTTCGATCAAAGTTTCACACAGCTTCTACTTAATAGATGTTCAAAATTTACAAAATCTTTGGTCAAAGATATCTTGACAACTAACTGACTAAATTCAACAAACTTTTTCTTATTTTAATTGTAGAAATTTGTAGAATTCAAAGAAACAAAGTTTATCGAATTTAGTCAAGTAGATATCAAGATATCTTTGATCAAAGCTTTACAACCTGCAATACAGCTTCTATTTGATAGATGTTAAATTTACAATACTTTGATTGAAGATATCTTGACAACTACCTGATCAAATTCAATAAGCTTTTTTTTTTTATTTTAATTGTAGAAATCAGTAGAACTAAAAAAAAAAGTTTGTCAAGTGTGGTCAGGTAAATGTCAAGATATCTTCAATCAAAATTCAAAAAAATTGTAAAAATTAGAATGATTGGTAGGGGTGTGGTATTATCAAAAAAGAGGTGTAGAAATATCAATTTCCAAAATTCTTATATATTAATAAAATCATTTTTTATGTTTAAAATACAAATCTTTTTATACTGGAATATATAAAATACATATTTAGTATTTTTTTTGTAAAGATAAAGTAAAATAAAGAAAATATATGCTGTTTAGTTACTTTTTAATGCTAAACAAAATTTCTTAGAGCTCAAAATTATAATACATAAATAAAATTTTGAGAAATAGATAATTTCCTATATTTTTATTAATAAAAATATAAAAAATTATGTATTTCTCAAAATTTTACTAATAAATTATAATTTTAAGCTCCAAGTAATCTTGTTTAGAATTAAAAAATATATTAGAATAGTATATAACTTCTTTATTTTCTTTATTTTTTGAAGTAAAGTTAGATAAATTTTTATCAAAATTACAAATTTATATTTTTTTTTGTAAAAATAAAGAAAAATAAAAAACTTACATGCTGCTTCAAAGTATTTTTTGATACTAAGCAAGATTACTTAGAATTCAAAGTTATAATTCATTAGTAAAAATACTATTTTTACTAATTATTTGCTAAGTTTGGTTAATTTATTAATTGGTGATTCATGAGTCAACCAGAGAGTAATTATAGTAAAACATAATACAAATTACTTATAGAAATTAGAGCTTTGTTAATATGGCATGTGCAAATTTAAACCTTTTTTCATAAGTTAACTACTCTTCTAACTTAAGAGACTTTTGTAAAGCTTGTTAAGACATATCTAATAGTAATTAAATTATCTAAATTAGCCTGGTAGATATCAAATATCTTTAAAAAAACCTTTTTTTAACTATATAAATTTCTTTGTAAAACAATAGTATTGTTTTATCACAGTTTTTGAAATAGTTAAAAATGGGTAAAAAAAATTTTTTTCAAGTATACCTATATATTTATATACCAGATTATCTTAGCACATTGATTAAAAATTGATGCTTGATTTACTTATTGTTTTAAACAATAAGTATATATATATGTTAATCAAAAATTAATTTTAAACCAACATGCTAAGGTAATCCAGTATATTAGTATATGCAGTATACAGATATATTAGAGAATTTTTTTTACTTATTTCTACTATTTCGAAAACTGTGATAAAGAAATTTACATAGTTAAAAAAGACATCTTGGCACTCACCAGGCCAATTTAGATGTTTTAACTACTATTAGATATATCTCAACAAGCTCTACAAAAGTTTTTTAAGTTAAATGAGTAGTTAATTTAGTATAAAAAAAAGTTTTAGATTCATATATATCATATTTACAAAGCTCAAATTTTTATAAATAATCTGCATTATATTTTACTATAATCACTCTTTGGCAGACTTGTGAATTACTAATTAATTAGTATTAATGTTTTTAAACTGAAATTAATTAGTTTATACTATTTTTTACTAATTTTATACCAATTTCTGCTAAAAAATTTGTAGCAATTAATAAAAATAAATTTTGTTAAATAGTATTTAATCAGTATATCCCTTAAACCATCCAGTAGGCAAATTTGCCCACTAGAATTTTTTTTACCTGATTTTGTAAAATTATGCCTGACTTTATTAGGCAATACCCCTTTCTTTATATGCCAAAATGAAAAAATATGGGTTTGTACATCGACCCGTGACTTTATTTCAAAAAGATTAGAAGCTTAATAAATATTTAGATTATGTGTAAGTAGCATAATACAAACCTTAAAAAAAAGGAATTGAAAAAACTCTTCCCGTAGATCACTTAACCAAATTAGGAACAAGAAGAAAAAACTTTCCCGTGACAATATCTCAAGTTTTTACTAAGTAAACTGATACTCGGCTCCTAATTAAAGTTATCCAGCACCTCTACGTCTACTTAAAAGAGGTGTTCT